TCTCTCTCTCTCTCTCTCTCTCTCTCTCTCTCTCTCTCTCTCCACCCCTCCTTTGTGAGTCTCCCCACGGCTCTCAGAACCCTCTTTCTATCCCTGTCTCAGCCACCCTCATTCCTGGTCCCTGTGTCTCAGCCCTGCCCCATTCTCCCTCTCCAGTGTGTCTTGAGTTCACATAATTTTCTCTCTCAAACAAGCAGATGAAGCTGGGCTGTCTGAAAATTCCAAACCTAGGAAAATCCCACTGTGGAACAAGTTCAAATAGTTCCATATTCTGTCTACTGACCAAAGTGAACAGCTCAATCTGGCAGCCTGGAGAGCTGCTGCAGCCACATGAATGGGGTTCATCACAACAGACCCAGGCTCGGTGTCCCCATCGTTTCATCTCACAAGGCTGCAAGGTCATCTGTGTGTCTATAGGGGAGCAGTCTCTGGAGGCTGCCATTTGGCAGGAACTGTTTCTGCCTCTCCAGCGTCCACTCACCTCTCCATGTGGCACGTTTCCTTTGGGATGACCTGTCCTGTTCACACCCACAGGGGCCAGGAGTGCTGCTAGCCAAGGTCAGTGGTTCTCCTGCCCTCTTGGCCATGATGATTGGTTCCAGGAGCCACTTGTCATCTGATCAGAGTCATCAGAGTAGACAGACGAATTCATGGGAGCCATCTGTGTAAAGGAGTTGCATTTTGGAGACGTGCCATGGTGTCACCTCTGTGTCACTGGTGCTCCATCAAGCGACCTGAGTGACACCAATGAAGGCAGAATTGAGAGAGGCAGACATGGAGCTCTGAGGAGCTCACCTGGGCACCTGGATCAAACCACACCTGAAGCAATCCACATGTACTCTTCACACTCATTTTTGTTTTGTGAGTATCTTTGTTTTATTTGGTTTTGCTTAAACCAAAGCTGAGAATATAGAAGAAAATCATCCATATTTGCAAAGAGAGTTGACGGCCCCTATGTAACCCTACTCAATAGAATATTCCTTCTGTTTTTTCCCATTTAAAATGTATTTTATGTTTTATTTTTGATTTTTTTTTTTTCCTTTTTGAGACAGTGTCTCCCCGTAGCCCCAGCTGGCCTGGAACTCGCTATGTAGACCAGGCTGGCCTTGATCTCACAGAGATCTGCCTGCCTCTGTCTCCTGGGTGCTGGGATTAGAGGCATGTGCCACCAATCCTAGTAGCCAAAGTTGGTCTTCTATCAATACTTAAGCAGAGAGATCATCCGTGTTCTAATAACACTCAACCAGCACATAAAGTCTCCATTCTTGGTGATGGGGTTGGAAGGGACTTCATATCTTTTCTGGCCTAAATTATTTCATTTCACAAGTGAGGAGACCGAGGCCCTGTGTATCAGTGACTTGCATGTTGCTTCAGCTATAAAATCTGACGGAAGCAACTTAAAGAAGGAAAGTTTTGTCTTCATTCCTGATTTCAAGGATTTCTGTCTATGCGGTGCTGTGTCATATGGGGGAGGCTCCACCCTTCCCCCAGGGCCAGGAAGTTGTGTAGACTCTTCAGAGGCTGCCCCTCTATGTCTTACTTCCACCAGCTAGACCCTACCTCCTAAAAACTCCACAGTCCCCCCATATAACACTACCAGCTGGAGGTGATATCTGAGAGATTCAGGATCAGACTCTTATTATCCAAGGAAGCTGGTGACAGCCTGAGGTCACACTCTGAGCTGGTTTTTGTCTGCAGTGCTGTCTCCACTCAGCTCACTCTTTCCCTCAAGAGACTGACAAGACTGACAGTCTGGTGGGCTCAATGGCCAGGCTGGCACCCCAGACAGCAGCCTTCTTCCTTCCTTTTGGGGTGAGCATCCACCAACGCAGTCCGCACTTGCTTGCCTTCTGCCCCTAGGAAAAGCTTGTAGGGGGCCCAGCTCTGTTCCAGGAGTTTCATGATCCACCGCTCCAGACCTGCTTTTTCCTCTATAAGATGGGAAGAGGGGCAGCAAACCCCACCCCCTGTGCCCAGTGGGATGGCTAGAGAGGGCCACAAATGACTGTGACAGGTGTCACTCAGTCTTTTCCCTCACCCCTCCACGTGGCCTGCCTGACAGGAGCGGGGAGGGACAGCATTAGCTGATGCCTGCCCTGTGGGGTGCTGGGCCTGCTTCCCACTCTCCCCCAAGGGGACTGGCACTTCCCTGTCTCACACAGGTAGAAAGTTGACACCCAAGACTCTTGAACAGCCTTGGGCAGGCAAGAATCCCCACATTTAATGAGTTCCAGCCCCTTATCCCAAGCCACCCAGGTGAAGGGTGCAGAGCAGGAGTCCCAGACACCTGGCTCTCACACCACACTCCCTGTTCTCCACAAACAGCACAGCCATTGAGTGGCTTTTGCAGATGAGGAGAACATCACCTGACCTGTCTGTGAGGACCAGAGGTGAGAAGACCCAGACCTGGAAACCAATCTTTCTTAAGCTTGAGTAACTCTCTAAGGACTTCGGGTATCACCTGAAGTGTCCTGGGATGGTGCCATGGAGGAAATGAAGATGTGGGAGCCAGTGCGGCAGCCAAGCACAGTTGTCTTCTGCCCTGCTGGTATAGCCAGGGGCCTTCAGGCAAGTTCGTCCACCTCTCTAAGCCTTTCCCTGTGTCCTATGGAAATGAGACCTCCCCTACCCTCCAAGATGAGATCATCCCAGGTCAACTGACAGCCAGGCCTTCCCCTGGACATGTAAGCAGCCCAGATGAGTGCAAAAGAACCAGCCAACCAAACCTAATCTACACCACCAACTGCAGACTGGTGAGTTCAGTATGCACTTGTAATTTATACCAGTACATTTAGGGATGTTTGTTCCACAGCTTTACTCTGGCGATGGTGACTGATACTCCCTCACCTGTCTGCTAATTCTATCTTCTAGATATCTCCTTGTTCCCCTCCCTACCTTCCTCCTTCCTGGTGTCACTCTGATCTAAGTCACCATCATGATTAATCTCAGTTGTCACCTTGAGATCTAGATGAGATCTAGAATCACCTCGAAGAGGAGTATCTGGCTATGCTGGGGGATGGGGTCATCTTGACTAGGTTAATTGAGGTGGAAAGCCCTCCCACTGTGGGACAGTGTCTTTTGTTATAAAAGGAAACTTCAAGCTCCTGTCCATCAGGATGAACTGCAACTGAACTGTGAGCTAAAATAAATGTTTTCTCCCACATGCTGTTTTTGTCCATATATTTCATCAACAGGAAAAGTAACTAAGACAGGACATTGGTACTGGGACAGACCAGACCAGGTCACATGATTCTCAATCCTGTGGACCTGGCTTATGGAAGAGTTTAGAACTTTGGGTTGGAAAAGCCCTGGAATGAGGCCAGCAGGACAGCTCAGCATGCAGCCCCTTGCCACACAACAGGCCTAGTGACCCGAACTGAATCCCTGGAACCCACGTGAAGGTGGAAGGAAAGGACTGGCTCCACAAAGCTGTCCTCTGGCCTCCACACGTGCACTGTGGCATGCACACACATGCAGACACACATGCATGCACATGCAGACACACACACACACACACACACACACAATATTTTTTAACTAAGAAAAGTTCCATAATGCATAAACAGAGTCTAATGGGTTATTTTGATGGAAGCCTAGCCAACCCAAATGCTGAGATATGCAGACCGTGCAGGCCTGGCTCATGAGGTTGGGGTCGGGGGAATGCATCAGGAGCCAGGCTGGGAGCCATACCTGCAATATTCCAGCTAGGAATCTGACTGCATTCTCCCAGTGTCCTGTGAATCTGAGTGAAGTTGAATTTAAAGATGATGGACTGGTTTGTTTGGCAGAGGAAATTTCAGGACAGGAGAGCATCAGGCTGGTGCTGAGAACGCAGCAGTCATTAGTAAAGGTATCCACACATTAAAGGGAAACCCACACTGCACTGGGACAATAGGACAGGTGTTCTGAGGGCAAAGCCACCTATCAGAGGCCCAATCTTGTGAAGATCCAAACTCATTTAAGAGGAGAAAATCTAAAGGGATCCCTGCTTCTCAAAGGCAGCAGCCCAGGGACGTGTTTCCGCAGGGTCAGCAGACAGAACTGATACAGCTGTGGTCCAGGGGCGGGGTCACATCTGGAGCCAGCAGCAAAGCTTGCAGTATTGTCCACATGGATTTTGTAATCATGGAAGATGCAAGGTTGAGAGGATCATAGACACTTGTATGATGTGGTTCCAGAGAGCAGCCAAGGTCATGCTGTGTATGGCAAGGTCAGAACATCTGCAAGGGGTTGTCGAGAGGCCACTGTGTGAGACTGTGACAGGGAAGCTGATGTTGTAATGGACAGTGGAGACCCCAGGATGTTGGAGATGCCAGGACCATTAGACATACATTGAAAAGCTGCAGGAAATGTGTCATTTGGTTTTGATGCTATAGGAGCTCAGAGTTAAGAGATTGCCTTGAGTCTCACTTGAGACCTGGATGTGGACCTAAAAGCTGTTGGAATTGTTAAAGACTGTGGGAACTCTTGAAATTGGGTTGTATTTTGATCATGAGATGAACGTGAGACTTTGAGGACAAGGAGTGAAAGGTTAAAATTTAAAGTGGTGTGTTTGTCCAGCACTCAGAAGGCAGAGGCAGGCAGATCTCTGATCTCTGTGAGTTGGAAGCCAGATTGGTCTACATAGCGAGTTCTAGGCCAGTCAGGTCTACATAGTAAGACCCTGTCTCAAAAACAAAAACAAAACAAAACAAAACAAAAAACCCAACTAACCAGATAAATAAAGTGATGTGTTCAGGTGTCAAGTTGTCAAGGGGTGGCGGTACGATGGTTAATCTCAACTGTCAGCTTGATGAGATCCAGGATTGACTGGGAGATGGGCCTGCAAGGGATTAACCGAGGTAGGACAACCCGCCCACCGTGGATGGCTCCATGCCCTGGACCATATAAACAAGTAAAAAGTGAGCTGAGCACCAGCATTCATCTCTCTCTGCCCCCTGACTGTGGGTGTGGTGTGATCACATGACCCTCCTGCCACCATGACTGCTCTAAAATCATGAACTGTACGTTAAAATAAACTGTTTCTCTCTTTAATTGCTTTTGTCGGGGTATTTTTTAAATCACAGGAACAGGAAAAGCAACTAAGTGAGCCACTGTCCTTTTCTGTCCTGGACTTCCACAACAACCTCCCTCCAGGTCATCCGCTGATCCTGGTCCTCTCCAGCCCAGCAGGGTCACATTCACGCACCCTTGCAGGGCTCGCTGGCTGTACAGGTATGGGTTGCCGAATGCATGCAGCAGGAATGCTGAAGGAAAGAATGCAAGCCGCTGCTCAGTGCACTGAGGAGACCTCAAGAAACCTGACAACCTCCCTTCCCCACCCCCTCCACCCCTGTTCCCACATCCCCAGTAGTCCCCTGGGCTTGGGGAGACTTTCAGTAGGTAAAGTGTCTGCTGTTCAAGCCTGAGGACCCGAGTTTGGATCCCATCATTGGCACTAAAAACCAGCATGGTGGTACACACCCACCTGTCACTCCAGTACTGGGAAGGCAAGGATAGGCAGAATCCTTGGGCTTGCTGGCCAGCCAATCTAGCCTAATTGGCCAGCTCCTGGTTCAGTGAAAAAATCTATCTCAAAAAATAAGGTAGAGGAACTGGTGAGATGGCTCAGTGGTGGACAGTGCTTAGTGCTCTTCCAGAGGATCTGAGTTCAGTTCCTAGTACCCACATTAGATGATTCACAACTGCCTGTAACTCCACCTTCTGGGAATCTGACACCCCTGGCCTCTGTGGGCACCTGAATTCATGTGCATGCACAAATCCACCAGACACACATATATACACATAATTTAAAAAATAATAGAAATAAATCTGTTTTTTTTTTTAAAAAAAAAAAAAAAAGAACAAAGGGTGCAAGTGAGAGGGGAAGATGCTCAACACTGACCTGTGGTGCCCCCCCCCCCCCCCCACCCCCCTTCTGAGCTTGCACACACACACACCCTCCCCGCCGGGATACAGTTGCCGCTTTATCTTCTGGGAGTGTCTGATGTGGTGAGCACTCAGCATCAGCGTTCACTCCCCTGCTCAGCCTCCTATTGTTCCTCCAATAAGCTAAGGGTGGAAATGAAATGCTGGGCCCCAAAAGGACCCCAGGAGGCATCTGAGAGAACACCAGCATCCCCCTCTGCCTTGGGGACCCCATGTGGAAAGATTCCTTTACACAAAAGATCCACTTTTGTAGTTATTCTAGCACAGTCTTCCCTGCATAGGGTGGGCACCTGCACAGGGTGAGGGTTGAACCCCTCTAGAAGGAATATGAGGCCGAAGTCCTCTCATAGACTGAAGGAGGGACCATACAGCTGGTCCCCAACCACAGGGCAGAGATCCAGAGTCAAACACCCAAGTTTGAATTCCAGCTTGGTCACCAATTCTGCCATCACAAGCAAGCCCTACCTTCTCTGAACCTCAGTTTCCCTCTCCTGTGAGAGAGTAGGCTGGCTGATCACTGGGATGGCTGATCACTGAGAAAAGATGAGCAGGAGAAATGTGAGCTTTGAGTGAGAGCCGCACACGTGTGGCTGGAGACAGTGGGTCTGGCTTATCCCAGCAGGCATGAGTCCAGGGTAAGGAAAGAGAGGAGCCTGGCAAAAGGGGACACCACCAGGTCCATTACCCCAAGACTGGATAACCCCATGGGAGAAGTGCAGAGGCCTCCATGGTCTGGCCACCTCCCAGCATAGCCACCTCCGCCAACTAGCCTCCAGTCAGGCAATGGGGTATTAAACAGAGATGCTCCCAGGAGCACAGCCAGTCCTGAACTCAAAACTCCTGGAGGGAGGGAAGACCCTCCACCTTCTTGCCTCTGTCCAGGCTTCCAGTCCCAGGATGGCCTCCTCCCTCCCAAGCTGTCTCTCTGTGCTCCCATCTACCCCTGTGGATTGTGGAGGTACAGCATGGGCGGCTGCTCCCCACCCCAGGAGCCCCATCTGCAGGGGGTGCCCTATGCTGGCTCCACAGCAGCCACAGACCCAGGGCCAGAGTGGGGAGATCTTCTGTTTTTGTTTTTGTTTTTTTAATTATTTACTATTTTTATTTTATGTGTGTGAGTGTATTGCCTGCATGTGTGTAAGTGCACCCGTGCCGGTGTCGTGCAGTGCCTGAGGCCAGAAGAGCACATCGAATATCCTAGAACTGGAGTTAGGATGGTTGGGAATGGACGGTTGCCATGTGCTGGGAATCGAACCCAGGTCCTCTGCAAGAGCAGTCAGTGCTCTTAATCACTGAGCCATCTCTCCAGCCCATAGAGTAGAGATCTCCTTGAGGCTTACACAGCTGGCAACACAAAGGACATGACTTCCCAGCAAGGATGCACACAGGAGGCATCCCCCCCCAACCCCGGTGATGGGCTACAGCAAGATCTAGGTGGGGGGTCCAGATCCACATGGTCCCTCCCAGAACAAGGAGTTGCAGCTGCCTGATGCCCTCAAGGTGGCAGAGTGCCTCCAAGGAAAACCTTACATCAGCCCCACCCACGGCATTGAGGTACCAGCTCCTCGGGCCAGGGTCTCTTGAACTTTGACTCCTTGCCCTGGAAGAGAAGGCAGGCAATAACCACTGGGCCACTCATGCCCATGCTGAACCCTTTTCACTATTTCTGACAACTCCAAAAGATGAGCTGCATGCTCTCCATTTTACAGACAAAAAAACCTGAGGGTCAGAGAGGTTAAAGACTAGGCTCAAGGCTGTTACTCTTTAAAGAGGCCAGAGAAAGAAGCCCAAGAACCTCAGCATTGTCTCCATCACCCTCTGTATTCACCAGTAGCAGAAAATAAAAAATAATTATCTTGAGGACCCAGAGCTTCTCCAAGACCCTACAGCAGAGACAGGAGGTGGTGCCCTTCGGGTCCCTATATCAGTACACATCCATCCGCCTTGGGAGTCTACAGCCTTTAGCTCTGCACACACAGCAGTGTCTTAAAGATGACCTGGGTCTGGAGGGTGGTGTGGGGCAGAGGTCATCAGGGCCTGCCAAGGTCAACACCTATGAGCCTTGGGCGCTTTGGAAGGGCACACACTGCCCACCTCAGAATCCCGATTCTAGGGGGACCCAGGAATTACATTCCAAGTTGTCTGGGCTGCTGCTGCTGGCCGGAGTCCCACTACAAGAGTGGGCAACTGCACTGGAGCCTGGAGGGCAATTACAAAAGGT